AGGTGCTGGCCCCCAAATGGCTGCATTTTTCGGCTGGGCGCCAGGAGGCACTCCGTGTGGACCCCCCTTTTTATATCCAAAGAGCCCATCCTCAAACACGATTTCGCCATAGTCGCCAAACGCCGTGTTTGCAAATCGATCACCGGCAGCACAGTTGTAGAAGCGCCAGTAGGGCGAGTACTTGATCGGAAAGGGTTTCGGCTCTGGCACAGGCTTGGTGGCTGTCTGCATACCGAAATTGACGGTAGACGGCTTAGGCGAAGGCGGCTTAGCCACGCCTGCCGGCGTATTCACGTCGATATYGAACTCCGCCTCGCTGTCGCTGCTGTCCGCCATCACGAGCTGATCCACGCAGCTCTCCATGCCACGCCGCCTGCACTCGCTCTGTATCGCCTGCTCCAGGTATTTCTTCTCCACGACATCGCGACAGACGCACATCATCACCGAGTTGCGGCAGCTGCACTCGCTGAAGCCCTTAGCCCTCAGCTTCYTTTTCATCTCGCTGAGTGCGACGGCAAGATCGCTTTTGACCACCCTRAAGACAATGGGCTGCATCTGCACAKGGCTGTTGCTATTGGGCCGCAACGTAATGGTGATTTCGCCGTTCTTCTTGGTCAAGTTGAGCACTGCGGGCCCACATTCATTTTCCTCGTGGCTTCTCAGCACATCCATGCACGTTTTACGYGTGGAGCTTCTTGCCGAGCCATATAAAAAGAAATTCATCAGTTTTTTTATTGACTTGAGTATGGCGCCGGGTCGCCAGCCATATTTGCGCGCCTCCTTGCTGGAGGACCAAGCCCAGCCGTGACGGCGCGCGACGGGTCGTTTAGACTTCACGCAATGTCTGTGAGTTTTACTTTTATTCGATTTTCGCTTTCGACTCTTGCCGCTAATGTTATTTGGTGGGGTTCTTTTCTTAGCCCTGGGCTTGGCTACTTTTTCTACTTCTCGGACATGCTCAACTGGAGCGACTTCCTTCCCCTTCTCCTTCTCCTTCTCCGGCTGAGCACAAGTCTCCTCGTTCGGCTGCTTTCCCACATCAATGTCATACATCTGGCGCAGCTCAGAGAAGACGCGTGATAGAAACGGACGATATTCCGAAGACTTCTTCGTATCTAAACAATAATGTTCGGGATCCGAATCGGTGTCCTCCTCAGATGGCATTGGGACATCTGTTGACCTGGGCTGCATAATGTCCGGATATTGTTTGCGCAGTCGGCAGTTGGCACAGAGCTTGCCATTCTTGCATGTGCAGCGGCACGTGGACTTGGACGACTTTTCCTTGGACGACGCATTGGATGGAAGCTTACACAAGTCGTCGAGGGTGGGCGGGGGCTTGCCCAGATAATCGTTCAGTATTTCATCAGCTGTCATTCGTCTGGGCTTGCGCTCTTTAACGATTGGTATCTGTTTAATCCCGCACTTGGGACAGTTGGCGTATTTCGGCAGCCACGACATATTATTCTGGCACACAGGACAGAAGCGCAGCTCGTAATTAGGCTGTGAGTTGATTGCACTGGGTGGTGCAGCGGCACACATGTTGCTGCTGTAATTATATGGAGAGTACTGACTCGATGACAAGTTCGACAAGGCCAGGTCTATGGGACTGGGGGTCGCCGTTGAGTGTGGGTAGCAGCACGGTGTTCCACAGGGACTTTTCAATGCTCCCGCTGTTTGGCGGGATGTGTTCTTCTGGCTCGCCAGCTGAGTAATTGAGTCGATTATTTCGCCATACTGAGTTGCCATTTTCCTCAAGTCCTCGCAAATGGAGGGGCGCATTAAGTCGTATTTAAAAATCTCTTCATGCTTAAATTGACTTGGCTCCACATCGGGATAGCGTCCCAAATCCAATTTTATATACTCGTCCTCATCTGGCTGCCATGCATCTAGACTAGGCAAAGCTGAGTAGGGATTGCGCTGGGAGTCGCTCATAATAAACAAAATATCCTGCGGTTTAATGCTTTTGTCCATATCACGAAGGCAACTGCTGACATCGATTCTGCAAAGAAAAGTTTCCCATCAGATATAGTAAAGTAGTAGGAAGACTCCCGGACTTACCTTGGCTGAGCTTCGCATGTCATAACAAGCCGACAAATCAGCTCTAGGGTACCAACAACTAACGATCCCTTCCCTATGAAGCAGGTATCCATATGTTGAAGCTCGGGCATGTCCTTGTTGATGTTGTCAATGATTTCCTGGGGAAAACTGATCTGGGCGGTGCCTAGAATTTGACCCGAACACTTTACAATAAGCGGCATTCCACATGATTCTAGACTTTGACGCAGCTTCTCTGGTGATTCAACGAATTCTGTACTTGAGCCGTACTCAAATTCTGATACATTAATTCGACTCGAAGTTATCTTAATTACTTTATTGTTCAAAGTGACCTCTACACTAATGTTGTTCAGGTCCTCATTGCTTACATACGGTGACTCGAATTGAGTTACTATAATATCGAAAACAAAATTGCATGCCATGTTAGTTGATCTCAATATGTCACTTTGGGCAATTTCTGGACTCTGGTAAAATTAGAGGAAATAACATACAAACGAAAATTTCAAATTTATTGTAAATTTTTAAAATTCAAATTTCGATGACTGTGTACACTTAAACATTACAATGGAAACAATAAATAATTTGTTCATTTCTGTACCACATATACATAAAAAAGCAACTATGATGAAGTAAAATTAGCTTCGAATTTCTTAAACAGTATTATTATTTTTAACAGTATGTTAACAGTAAAAGAAAAAACAATGGATTATTCTTGAATTGATGAAATACTTCTGTTTCTACTCCATTGCGGCATACTTGGATATTTTACAGATTTTCGTACATTACACAAATAGCTTTTCGCCTCAACCATAGTAAGTCCATGGGGAGCACCATTGCTGATAACATTGGTTATAGTTTTGATAGCATTGTGCAGCACACGGGTCGAAGCCCCTTCCGAGTCGGGGCGCAAATTCGATGGGACACAGGGGAGCCTGTAGCTGCGAGCGTCGCATACGTTGTGCCGCGGCTTGAGCATCTCGGCCAGCTGTAGAGCTTGACTTGGATTTTACTTTCGTAAATACGTCATGATCCTTCAAATACTCCAACATATTTATGTGTTTATTCGCTGGAGCTGGAGCCGATGGAGGTACTTTTTTCATAAAGTTCTTGGTTAACTTTACAGGAATTGGCTTTTGGCTCGTTGCTTCGTTACCCCGTTTTTTCAGCCCAGCAAATGGTATACGGTTCTTTTGGCTTAATACATTGTCAGAATCTCGTACAGAACGTCTACTTTTAAGAACTGTGCGCGCGCCAAAGCGATTCCTCCATGGATTAACACCGTGCGGACCGCCACCCATGTGCCCAAAGAAACCGTCCTCAAACACCGTCTGTCCTGGTGCGCCGAAGACTGTGCCCGTGTACCGACCACCGGCAACACAGTCGTGGGCACGCCAGTACTTACTTTGCTTGATTGGATATCTAGGGGGAATCTTTCGATTAATATTAGTTATTTGGGTAGCATGCTCAACGGTCCGTCGCTTCAGCATCGCCGGCGTTTGCGGCGCTCTGGATGGCGGAGACACGTTAATATCGAAGTCTGCTTCACTGTCGCTGGTGTCTGTGAGCACCAGATCGTTCACACAGCTTTCAAGGCCTCGACGCTCGCACTCATCCTGTAGAGCCACCTCTAGTTGCTTTTTTTCAACGTTGCTGCGACAGACGCACATCATCAACGACTTGTGGCAGGTGCACTTGCGAAAGCCCTGGGCCTTGAGCCTCTTTTTGATGTCGTTTAAAGTCACAGCAAAATCGCTCTTAACTATCTTAAACACAATAGAGCTCTTCTCTAATTTACCGCCATTCATTGCTCGGAGTGTAACATACGTTTCGCCTGCTTTCTTACACACCTGTAGAATCGGAGGGAGATGCTTCATTTCCTCTCTGGCATGCCATTTCTCCTTGCGCATATTATCGGCTTTTTCAGCGGGCAGATAATACAAGAAATAGTCCATGAGTTTTTTGATGGGCCTCAGGATTGCACCTGGCTTCCAACCATATCTGCGGGCCTCTTGGGTAGAGGGCCAATCCCAGCCGTGACGACGCGGGACTAGAGCCTGCTGTCTCGCGCAGGCCTTCTGAGTTGTCCGTCGTCCCTTTGCTGCATACTGATTCCTACTGTCCTTGTGACTAATGTTTGAGCTGCTAAGTTTTTTATTATCTCCATATACGTTTTTTTCCTGTTTAGGAACGGTGTCTAAATTTGTGTTGTGTTTTTTCTCTTTACATTGATGATTGAGCAACGAACGGTCTTTGGTGTCCTTTACATTATAGAGATCGCGTAGATCGGAAAATACTTTAGCCAAATGTGGACGAGAGTCCTCAGACTTAATACAATGGTCGGACGGCTTTTGCTCAATGCACGCTTCAGAAGATTTAAAGATATCGGAGCACAGCTTACGTATTCGGCAATGAGCACACAGTTTGTTTTCGCACGAGCACCGACATCTTGACTGGCCTTGTTGGGTTACATCCTCTTCAATTGCCAGTTCATTGGGATCAACAGACCTATCTAGTCTGTCAGCCTGGGGCTTGCCCAGGTAATCCTTTAATATTTGATCGGCCGTCAGATTCTTCATTTCGTCAGGCTCACTGTTGACCGGTATGGGCTTGACACCGCACTTGGGACATGCGGCGAATTTCGGTAGCCAGGACATATTATTCAGACAGAGGGGACAGAAACGAATGGGCTTTATCTGCTGGTTATTTTCATTAATGACGATCATATCTGGCGGCTTTGGACTACAGAAATCAACGAGCTTCTCAGAGGTTAAGTCCGAACTACTATGAGCTTCGGGTATAACAGGAAAGTTTTTGTGTCTTGAATTAAAACCTGATTCACCGCAACAACTTTTCAAATTTATAGATTCAATAATGCTCTTGCAGTCCTCTACCAATTTCTGTAAATAGAATTGTGCATCAAAAAGTTATACAAAAGATGATGTAAAAAAAACTAGAACCTTAAGTGGCTTGAGGGCGTCAATAACATTATTGTTATTTATAAAAATATTCGAGTACTTTTCTTCATCAGTATTCACGCCCTGATAGCGATGCAAATCCAAATCCAGGCATTTGTCGAAATCACTCGATTCCCATTTCTCTACACAAGGCTCGCAATTATTGGGACAGTGCTGCGAATTGCTGACAAGGAACATGATATCCTGCATGTTAATGTTATTGTCTAGCGGCCTTCCAGGATGTGTTGAGCATTAATACCAACTCCATATACTCGAAAAATATACTTACTCATCATCGCATTTAATAATGAGACGGCAGCGAATATCAAGCGTACCCACAACTCGATTGTGATTCACGATGTCAACGGACTCTGTGTGGATGAGGTCAGACATACCCCTCTGAATACTTTCGATGTACCTCTCTGGAAAGTATATCTGAGCTCTTCCCACACAATCAGCTTCGTTATATATGAGCATGGGCAGGCCACACCTTATGAGGGCATCGCGTACCTTTTTTGCCGACGCTTTAAATTCTGTGGCTGTACCAGCTTGAAAATCATTTACATTGATGCAACTGGATGTTAGGCATATATCTTTATTATAAATTTTTGCCAACACTTTCAATTTACTGCCATCATTAATAGCCATGTTGGCCACATTTAATTTTGTGACGACAATGTCAAAGACAAAGCTACTACTAACACTCATGGTGTCTTTTGTGCGATTGGGGCTTGTTAGTTTCTTAAAAGTTGCAAATAAATCCCAGAAGAGCAAAAGTTAACAATTTGTAAAATAATTTTGTTTGTAAAACAATAAATCGTGATTCGTGTGACAAAATAAGAGATGTTGTAAAAAAAATTAAACATTACGTTTTCGATCCTATAACTAGGCTTGACTAATTTTTTAAGTATAAACTAAATGTTGCGACTGGGAAGCAATATCAGAAGACTCCCCCAATCTTTTAACAGAATTCCTCTTGACAGCTCATTGACTACAAATTTTAGTCCATCATTAAATCATCACTAATCTGAAAATCCAAACTGTACACAATTAGCAACATACCGAAGAATGCAATTATGATATCTAGTTTATTGTAAAAGTTTATTCTGACAACTGAACATTGGCATTTTACTGGTACTTGAGCCTACTACTGATAGGACCAACACGGATAGCAACACTGGGCTGCGCATGGGTTGCATGGATTGCATGGATTGCATGGATTGTAGTAGCATTGGCAGGGATCGTAGCCCCTGCCCAAACGAGGCATACTTTCGAGGGGGGGTATGCACGCGCCCAGCAGGGCGCGTCGTTTACGCTCTCCAGCCTGGAGTCTTTCCTTCTTTTCTATTTCCTCCTTTAGCAAGTCCTTGGCGGTTTTCTTTGGGGCTGGATTGTTCGGGTCCCAGGGTTTACTAATAGCGCCATCTTTCATTAAGTAATCAATGAGGTTAACGCCCTTCTTCTTTTTGGCTATCTCTTTAAGTTTTGCCTCTTTTTCAGCCTTAGCAGCCTGTTTCAGCTTCTCATAGTGCTTCTTGGGCATTCGAACTGGGATTGGGGCGCTCTTGCCCTTGCCTTCCTTATCTTTATTACCGGGGAACGATTTGTCTTTAAAGAGGGCAGCTAGTGGTCCACCTGGTCCTCCTGGTCCACCTGGTCCGCCTGGCCCTCCTCTTCCGCCTGGTCCGCCTCCTCCGCCTGCCCCGGAGCGTCCACCACCAGTCATAGGACCCCCCTGGCCGGAGCCCCATATTCCTGGCACCTTTGGCCTTCCACCCGGAGCTGCAGAAGCCCCGTGTGGTCCGCCGCCTCCGTGTCCGAAGAATCCATCCTCAAACACAATCTCACCCGGTGAACCAAATGCCGTACCGGTGTAGCGATCGCCCGCCGCACAGTCATACTGTCGCCAATAGGGACCCAGCTTAGTTGGATACTTTGATGGGACTACTAAGTCCTTCTTGACTGTCTGCGTGCCATTGTTCATAGTGATGCGCTTCGAGCGCGGAGACGCTGAAGCAGCTGGCGGGGACACATTAAAGTCGTACTCCATATCGCTCTCACTGGTGTCGGTGAGCACCAGTTCGTTCGCACAGCTTTCTATTCCGCAACGTTTGCTTTCTTTCTCTACTGCCTTTTCGAGATGCCTTTTGGCTATCGGGTCCCGGCAGACACACATTCTCACCGTATTGTGGCAGGTGCACTTGGGGAAGCCCTTTGCTTTGAGCTTCCTCTTGATGGCGCTAAGGGCAACTGCTAGATCACTCTTGACTACCCTGAACACAATCGGCTTCATTTGCACAGTTCCATTGTTGATGGGCTGCAGTGTAACTAGGATCTCGCCATTCTTTTTGCATACGTTCAGAGTCGGTGTCTCTTGTTCCTTTCTCATTGCTTCTTCTTCTGCTACATTTGTGCAGGTATTGAAAGCTGTGTCATCTGGAGAATAGCGCAAGAAGAAATCCATCAGCCGCTTGACTGACTTTTTGACGAATCCTGGACGCCAGCCGTACTTCCATGCCTCCTCCCGTAGGCCCCATGCCCAGCCACGATTGCGAGCGACTGCCCCTTCCGATTTCACGCAATTCTTGTGCAGGGCGCTGATAACTGGTGGCTTGCGCTTGATTGGCTTATAACTTTTCACAGTCTTTACACTCTTGCTGACCGGTATTTTTTCCAACGAGACTGTTTCTCCTGTTTCATTCTGTTTCATTCCACAATTATTACTGCGGAGCGTGTCTTTGATCTCGTATAAGTCCCTCAGTTCGGAGAACACACGCGCTAGATATGGCTTACAATCTTGAGAGTCTTCATCTTTCACACAAAAATCTTCGGAGGACTTCGGCTTAACCTTGGGGCATATCATCTCATTTTTAGTAGCTTTAAAAATGTCCGCACAGAGCTGACGTATGCGACAGTGGACACAAAATTTTCCACCCTTGCACTCGCATTTTCTCGAGCATTCACCCTCATCGTTCCTCTCTCTCTCCGCTTTTTCGCAGGGATCTTCGCAAAAATCAGCATTGGTAGTCTTTCCCAAATATTCCTGTATTATTTGGTCTGGAGTCAATTTTTTCTCTTTATGCCGTTCCTCAAGCACCGGCATAGCCTTGGCACCGCACTTGGGGCAGGCAGCCAACTTGGGAAGCCACGACATGTTGGCCAGACAGACGGGACAAAAGCGTGGTGGTTTAATAAATGGCTTATTTAAGTCACTAATTGGGGCAGGTATTAGCGCGGGATCGCAGAAATCGGGACTATCATCTTGTCGTGCTGGTATATACGAGAAGCACGGGCCATAGGCATCAGCCAGTGCTATACTATCCTGAAAATATTGACTCGGTATACTACAAATACCATCCAGTTCTGGGCCTTCTGGTACACGGCAGGGTGGCTTGATATCCTTGGGTTGACCCACGCGAGCGGTAATGGAGTCAACAATCTGTTCACACTCATTTGCCATTTGCTGCAACAAAAGCAAAGCTCAATTTCAGAGTCGCTACGAAATCAATCGTCGACTTACTTTGAGCTCACAACAAGCTTTTGATCCTGTGGGTTTATGTGTAAAAATTTCTGATATTCTCTGGCTCTTGCCGGTTGGGCTACGATAACGTCCTAAATCGAGAGTCAGCCTCTCATCACCATCATCTGTCTCCAAGGCATCCTGACAAGGGTCACAAAAGCTCGGACATCGCTGGGTATCACTCAATACGAACATGATGTCCTGCTTATTAATCGCCTTATCCACATTACTCACGCATGGAGTGTGTTCCTCACTGTAAAATGCATAACGCATATAAGATCAAGATCAAGAACAAACTTTGCACATGGGTTTACTCACTTGGCCAGCTCATCGCATTTAATGATGAGGCGACAATACACTTCTACCTTGCCAACATACTCGCCTTCCCTCTCGATTGAGCAAGAGCCCACATACATTAAATCTGACATTCCTGCGTCTATCATATCTATTGTCTTTTGAGGCACTGATATTTGGCCGGCCCCGATCACCTTATTGTTATACGAGACCGTCACCACTATGCCACATTCCTCAAGACTCTTACGAAATTTTTTGGGTGAAGTTTTGAGATTAACTCCAGCACCACTTTTGAAGTCTGTTACATTTATGCTGCTCGCTGACAGATTCACTCTTGCATTGCCAAAATTTGCGGTTACTTGCGCTTTACTGAAATCTTTAATTTCGGGACTTTCCAACTGGGTAACGATAATGTCGAGCACAAAGTTAATGCTCTCCATTGTGCAGTTTGCTTGATTGCTTATAGATTATAATGATATTTTAGATTCTGTGTCTGAGCTTATTCGATTAAAACCAAAAATTTTGAAGGGGGTTCTCTTGTAATGGTATTTAGTACATTAAATTTTAATTACAATTTTTTTAGTGTTTTATACATTAATTTTTTATAGACAATACTATTGCATTACTTAAGAATTTTTCAAAATCTGATTTCTGAAGCTCCGGATGTATACACGTTCTAAATCAAATGCTACTATGATAAAATAATACATATGCTTGCCTTCGTTAAATACGCGGCTAGCTTTTCTAATCAAATCGAACTATGCGTATATTTCCTAAGTTGAATACAAACCCATTTTGCCATTCGAACGCAAATTTCCGAGCAAAATAAACAATACACAAATGCTTAATTTTTTATTTTAAGTGTCTTATTACTTATAATTAGTATCTAAGTTGCGTTCTAAATCATCAACTTTCAGGAATAGCAATAATGATAACAATTTTGTGTTGCACTCTGCATCGGTCGTTCCATCTGGCCTTATAAGAGGTCCAGTCATCCATTTATATCATATATCCAGCACAAGTGACTGCCAGTCACTTTCACCATGGCACCCGCCAATGATTTCTGGGTTCCGAGACTGTTTGAAATCCAATAAATATTCATTGGAGCAGTTTTCTTCTTTCTCTTTTTATATAACGATCTCGAGGATCAGCAGATACTAAGGGTCAGCAAATACTAAGGGCTAAGTAAGGAGTGCACATTGAAAGTGATATAGTATTGAGCTCCACTGTAAAACAAGATTCTTCATTTTCGTTAGATTCTTTCCAAATTGCTTAATGCTTATTAATAGTTTTTCTTGACTGTCCGCTTTTTAGCAGGTTTATGTCCACAATAAGCCCTACGCTGCATGTCTTTCATGCGGTACAAGTCCCTTAGCTCAGAGAACACATGTGTCAGATGTGTCGTGCACTCTTGAGGGTCAATCACTTTCACACAAAAGTCCTCGGAGGCACCTGGCGTAGCATTGGGGCATTCAACTTCATTTTTGGCAGCTTTGAAAATGCCAGCACAGAGCTGACGTATGCGACAGTGGACACAAAATTGGCCACCCTTGCACTCGCACTGTTTGTTGCATTCCCCCTCATCGTTCCTCTCTCTCTCCCTTTCCGCTTTTTGGCAAGGATCCTCGCATATTTCGGAGTCAGTCTTCGGCTCTCCCAAAATCTCTTTTATTATTTGCTCCGATGTGAGTTTCTTCTCCCTATGCCGTTCCTCAATGACCGGCATAGCCTTGGCACCGCATCTGGGACAGTCGGCCAGCCTGGGAAGCCACGACATGTTGGTCAGGCAGATGGGACAAAAGCGAGGTGGTTTAATAAATGGCTTATTTATGTCACTGATTTCCGCTGGTATCAGAGTCGGATCGCAAAAGTCCGGACTGTAGCCTTCACGTGCTGGTATATAGGAGAAACATGGACCACGTAAATCACTTGGTATTGTACTATCCTGATGATATTGATTGATGGGACTGGAAGTACCGCCCAGATCCTTTCCGTCTGGTCCCCAGCAGAACGACGTTACAGTCTTTGGCCGACCAAAGCGACAGGTAAGGGAGTCAATCATCTTCTCACATTCCTTTGTCATTTGCTGCAAATAGACAAAACATCAGGGGCGCTAAAAAAAACTAATCGACGATTTAAACCATTTCCACCCACTCTCACCTTTAACTGACAACAGGCGTTGCTACCAATGGGCTTACTTGTGGTAGTTGCTGCAGTTACTCTTTGGGCCTTGGTAGCTGAGCCTCTGTAGCGTCCCAGATCTAGATTAAGCCTTTCATCGCCCTCATCTGGCTCCAAGACTTCCTGACAAGGTTCACAAACGTCTGGACATTCCTGAGGGTCGCTCAAAACAAACAGGATGTCCTGCTTATTAATCGCTTTTTCCACATTGCGCACGCACGGAACCTTCTGCTCCCTGTAAAAGATATGATGCATATAGGAGCCACACTTTTACACTTTGCACATAGGTCTACTAACTCCATTTCCACTTCATCGCATTTGATGATGATGCGACATAGGACTTCTGCCTTGCCAACATACACGCCTTCCCTCTCAATGGTGCAGGTGTCTATATACATCAGATCAGACATTCCCGCTTCTATCATGTCTATGGTCTCTTGAGGCATATTTAGTTGACCGGTACCGATGACCTTACTCCTATACGAGACAGCCATCGTAATTCCATTGTCCTCAAGGTTTTTGCGCAGCTTTGCCGATGGTACTGCGATATCCACTCCCGCACCAGTTTTGAAGTCGGTCACATTTATGCAGTCGGCTGGCAATTTCATTTTTGTGCCACCGAACTTGGCCGCAATTTGCACAGTACTGAAATCTTCAATATCGGGACTCTCCAAGTTTGTAACGATGAGGTCGACCACAAAGTTAAGGGTATCCATTTTGTTTGCTTATGTTTTAGAAAGATATTCTGATGCTGATATTATTTTATGAAGGCAGGGACAGTTTTGACGGATGTTTAGTAGCCGGGAATCTAAATGCGTCTAATTAAAAATTTTTGAAAAATGTTTTTGTTTATTTTTTATTTTTTATAAAAATAGTATTACATTATCTAAGAATTTTTGAAAATTGGATTTTGGACGTTACAAACATAAAGCAAACATGTGTAACTTAAAATGCTACTGTGATGAAGTTAATAGTTTCGAATAGAATTCCCCATGAATTTATCGACTCGGCTCGCTGACCCGTTAAAATTCTCTAATCATGCCCATCTACTTTGTGAAGTAAATAAATTCTCGTATTGAAGATGCATTTAGCAACACAAAATAAAAACACTTTTGAATTCTCTTAATAGTAAGATAAAATTTATAAACTTTATATTCAAATTATTAATTTGTTTTTCATCACATTCACCTAGTCCGATGAACTGCTTAAATTTGATTAGTAATGGGCATACTTTATCTGGCATCCCACTATAAATATCTGCCTGATTATTTTAACAATAGTAGGGACAAGGATTGCAATATTGGACGCATGGAGTGTAGCACTGATTAGCGCATGGATAGTAGCATTGATTGATGCACGGATCGATACCCTTACCCAGCTTGGCTAAGCTGTCAAAAGGTGGTGCGCAAACCTGGTTGAGAGCCTTTCGTTTGCGCTGCTCATCGGTCAACCCATCTGCCCCAACAACCGGACCCGTCTTGACCTTAGACTTGACTTCTGGTTTCGGCTCATTCGGATTCCACGGGGTGGGAATAGAGCCATCTTTCATTAAGTACTTCATCAGGTCAATACCCTT